TAGGAAATTCTTGGATCTTTAAATCGAAATATGACGAGTGAATAATACGCTAATAAGTTTCATCCTCAGATGTTATGCCACCACCATGCTTTCTAAGCAAGGATCGCCAATTCCTATTAGATATCATATCGTGTAATTATATAGATCAATAGAACCTTCTTCCTTAGGGGGGATAAATCGAGGGAAAATCTAATTGGCATTCTCTCGATTCTCAATGTATTCATCAATTCAATATGCTTTGAAATGTATGCATTCGAAAATTTAAAGTTTTCACATAAGTGTAACATAGCTCAGAGAGTGCAGGGTCACCCAATATAAATATTTGTTAAATATTTGTATTTTTAATATATTTAATGTTTTTAATGTTTTTAATACATCTTGACGCCCCCTTTTTTTAAAGTGCACGCTTTTTTCCATTCCCAAATGATTTCTACAAGAATGATGTTTTTACCAATGAGACTGAGATCTAGACTCGATTCGTTCAACTGCAACTCAATCATTAATAGGGATGAAACCAGGCATCTGTTCCACCCGTCGCAACCAGGCTCTTATCTTCGGAAAACTATCAATGGAATAACCGGCTGCAATAGAAAAATGGATGAGATGGACGACAGGCAATAAAAACACATCGATCCTTCTTACCTTCCTCACCGACGTGAGTGTATGCGTATAAAGCAATGTCAGCAATGGTGAACATCTCATCGACAAAAAATTTTCTCTCCTTCAAATGTTCTTCCATTAGGTGCAAAGCTTCGTAACCTTGTTTTTGTTTTTCAACAATTCGATCCAAGTATTTCGAATCTTCTCCAACTCCCATGTAAGTGATCCACCAACGGACAGGTGAAATGTTTGGCGTGAGTGAGAATTGTTCCCAGAATAACCATTGCATCACACGAGCGCGACTGATGGGTTCCGTCGGAAATAACGACGTGCCCTCCGAAAGAAGAGTCAGGATTGCATTGGATTCGATGAGTGTAATGCCGTCGTCCGGAATCTTCGGATTAAGATCTACGTCGTTGGAAGGTTTGAATGGAGACAGAGAAACTATTTCATTATCATTAATGAATTTATTGGGCGCGGTCGATTCGGCGATGGTATCGGTCTTGATCGCACCGTTGCTTTTAGGTGCGTGGGATGTCAATTTCTGAGGGAAATCCTTTGGTAGAATTAAGACCGGTAGCTTTCCGTTTGAAGATATGTTGCTAAGAAACTCTTCGGTCCGAGTTTCTCCTTTCTTTATGTCCACCTCCACACGATTATACGGTATTCGAAGTAATGAGAATAGCAAACGAATCTGTTCAACGTGTAAGGCATTATTCGGTGAATTCCGAGTGTTAGAGGGGGTATCGCCGATGGACACCATCAAACATTATTATCTATCACCTTGTAACAATTTCCGGAGACTGGATAATCATAAAGAGTAATCATCTTAAATTGTGGCGTTAAATTTTTGTTTGCTAACTTTACTTTATATATGTGAGTAACATGCGTAATAGATACGTACTTATCTCAAGTTATGGGCCGATGCGATGATCAAATTTGGCAATGGTTTTTCCGAATAAATAATAAAGCCAGATTTGATTTTATGGTTTGTTGCTAAAAATAATATTTAAATATAAATCTTTTAGTGATAATTAAAAATTTAATTTTATAATTGAAAATAATCCTTAATTAAGTAAAATTATATATTATTTTGAATAATTAAAGATTAAAAATAGAATATTAAAATTCTTTCACGAAACATAATTAAAACTTATTATTGATATACTGTAATTCTTATTTAAAAATTTAAAATATACAATGTATTTTATAATTATCAAAAATTTAAAAATTATTTGTTATATAATAATAATTTTTTTTTTTAATCTTCTATCAAACTAGTTATATATATTTTATTACTATTCTAAATATAACTTTGAAAATAATTTGTTGCTTTATTAAAAGTTCAGATAAAGATTCTTTCAACTTCTTTTTTTTTTTTGAAGTACTAACTCATTCCTGTGCCAGTTTTAAAACTTATTAAAGTCAGATGAGTAATTACCCATACTGTCTAAGGATTTACAGATCAACAAATAGTACAAGGGGCATCTATTTATATTTTACCCAACCAGGATAGGGAAACTATGTGACTATCTAATATAAAACTGTCTCTTAATTCTAATTAAGCCAGAATTTGGGAGGAGTCTTTTTAAACATTTAATCTAATTAAAGTAATTTATTACATTTTTACCTTTTGTTATTAGAAACAGCACTTTCTAGGATCATGGTTCATCAAATGACTTGTCACTATTCTCTTATTAAGAGAGCTAATGTATCAGGAGCTCACCTAAGATACTTAACATCCCTGATGTTAGGGATTTCTTATACAGAAATCTTGTTGGCTCCATTGGCATTTCAAATTTTTCTGAAAGCTTGTTATGTTTCTGGTATTATCTGATTACTTGATTGGAATACAGGTCTTGTGTAAAGGACATCAATCCCTCGATTGGTAGTCTTGAGTATTGAAATCTGTTATGCTTCTTTTTTAGCATCACACTGGATTAAATTTTGACTTGTTATAGGCTTGTTTGATCAGCTTTATAAGTGATCAGATTCTTCTTCTTCTATTTGAGGGGCAATCTATTTGTGTTTCTGGAACCTCGCACTGCCTATTTTGATCATATTTGTAGAACCTTATGTGTATCTTGTCTTGTTATGGATGTGATAAGCAGGTAGAATCCTTCTTTACTTTCCTATTAGGTATCTGAGATCAGTTGTATGTGGAGGACTTGTGTTATTTATACTAGCCTTATATAGAACCTTGTGTTAATTTGTCATTCTTACTATAGGCATGATGAGTATATGAGTTTTTTTTATTGCCTTGTGAAGCACTTGATCATCATTATAGGGGAATGAAATCTTTATATCACTTTGTGATTGAATTTTCACTTGGTCCTCACTAATGTGGTATTAAACTCTGGACCTTGTAATTTTGACCTGGAAGTACTATCATTGTGCTATCGATCCACAGGTCTAAAGATTCTTTCAACTTCTAATATTATTATTTGCAAATTACTATTGCAGATTACTTTTTTAAGTTCTGATAGAACTCAAAACCTAATCAAATCTAATTTTTCTTGATAGAATATTTTTCAGGTCTTGAACTTTTATTTTAGCCTTTCTTCTTTTAATAATAAAATTATTCTTTTTAATAATATAGTTTTATAATTTTGAGATTAAAAAATTTTTTTATTTTATCATTTTTCTATATTTCTTGTATTCCTTTTCATTTTATTATCTTTTCATATTTTATATTTCAAACTTTCTTGCAAAATTAATTGCATATTATACTCTATATCAATTTTATTTATTTTCATATTTCTTTTCTAACTTTTTTATCATGATATTTTAAATTTGCCAATTCAAAAACTAGTTTACTTCTTATTAATTTATACAAAAACTTAATAGGTCCTGACTTGTTAAAATTTGTTTTACAAGCCTGAAAATTAACTTATCAACTTTCTTATTTTTTCTTTATTATTAATTGTCAGTTTCATATTCATCTCTGTAACTTTTTTTTTTTTCTTGCAAAAGGTCTTCAAAGTTCTTAAGAATTACTTTAAAATCTTTATTCCATATTTCTTTCATATGCTTCTTATAAGCTAATTATTTTAGCAATAATTGATTATCTTTTTTTTATAGAAATTATATGTTATATACTATATTTTACTTGCTTATATAAATGTGACTTTTTAATTGCCAGTTTATTTAATATTTGTAGTTTATTATTTGTCAACTTAATAATAAAACTTTTTTTTTGTAAATCCTTGAAAGATGTGTTTTATATAATAATAAGTCTCTAAAGTCTAACATTATATGCTATAATTGAAAGTTTTATAATTGAAAGTGAAAGTCAATTTATAATCAAAGGTTGATTTTTTATAACTAAAAATCAATTTTATAACTGAAAATCAATTTTTTATAATCAAAAATCAATTTTATAACTAAAAGTCAATTTTATAATCAAAAATTAATTTGATATATGAAACTAAGGATATAAAAAATTTGATAACTGAAAGTAAAGATATAATGTACAAATTTTGATTAAAAGATCTATTTTAAAAAATTTCTAATTAATTGATTTATTTTTAATAATATATAATTGAATCAAAATATAATGGTAACTAAATTTTTGTTATGAAAACATTTTTACAAATTAAATTTATATCAAATTTTTTTATTTAAAATATCAATATTTATTTATATTTATATATTTTTTTTAAACCCATGGTTAGGCCAGTACTGTGTGTTTATTAATTATTATAAAAACTGATAGTAATATATAGGGCAATTGTATCATGGCTAAACTAAAAGACTTGTACTGACACACTCGTCAATGGCTTTCAATTCTCAAAAGAGTTTCAGTTTCTAAGTACAACTTTGGAAACAATATTTTATTCTGGACTAAGTTTTGGATAAAGACCCTCCTAACTTATAATACCTATCATTGTCAGTAGGTTGTCACTACTTATTATTCTTCAAGAAACTGAATTTGAAAAACTATAAATAGGAAAAAGAAAAATAAAAGGAAAAAGAAATATCTAAAAATATGCAAATATACTACATAAAAATGAAAAGAAAAAAAGAAAATTAAAAATATTCTATATCCTTCAAAGAACCTCTACTAAAAACCTCTTCCTATTAGGAGTCAACTCTTCTGAAATATTCTTCTTTTTCCTAATTATCTAAAGAACTTATCCATTCATGCTCTTGATTATTTTTTTGTGACTATCTAAGGTACTTATCATTTACTTGGATCCAATGTCTTACTCAATACTTTCTTTCTTTCAGTCTTGATTTTGTATTCACCTATATAGAAAAAAACAACTAATAGTAAACTTCAGATTCTTATATGACTTTTCAGTCTTGTTAAGTAACTCCAGATATCTTCCAACAACCACACTTAGTTAAAGAAATTTTACTGGTATTCATCTTAATCACAATATCATTACATAACATTTGAGAAAATGAATTCTTAATTTTAGAGAAGAGCAATGCTTTACATTCCTCTGCTTTTAGTCTTACAATCTAATCAAGATAAGAAAATAATCTACTTCACATACTATGTCTAACCAAGATAATAAGAAGTTGAAGGTCTCAGCTTGAACAAATAATCACTTTTTCATCATCTAGGAAATTTATTATCCATTCTAATGGCATTATGATTTCTTTGTTTCAGTTAAACTTTATTTGAAGAAGTGGAAAAGTTCATATCCTTGATTTCTCTTTCAATTACCAATGATATCATCCAAACATGTGAGGTGATCAATAGGAGCTTGTTTATATTCAACTATTGATATGCTTTATCAATCAATCAGATATCAAGTGACATTGTACTACTAGAAATTCAGGGTCAAACTGAGATAAGCAAAATCCCTCAAGAAAACTATGAAAACAGTAAGTATTTTAAGAGAATATAAAATAATATGTAAGAAGGTGGAAAATAAGCTTTTCTCTGCCAATAGAATCTCTATTTCTTGTTATTTCCAGCTCTGTAAGGTGACATTTCACTTGTCAATCCTTTTACTTTCTAGACCTTCTTGTCTTTAATAAAGGAAGTGTATACTTGAGTCTTTTTAGGTCACTAAAGGTTCAAGTTTTTATTCAAAAGAGTTTATAAACAAGTAAGAGAGAGTAAAAGAGATAAATGAAGTTAAGTTTCAAATTGTTTTAATAAAAGTATAAAGATATTATTAGCAAGAAAGTATAAAACTTCTTATGAATATCTTTTTTGTGTGTGGTCAGAGGATTACTAGAAAGAGTTAATATCAATATTTATTTTATATATCTTGGAATTATAAAAAAAAATTTTTTTTTATATAGTTATTTAATATTTAGTTTAATTGTTTAAAATATAAACTTTTAAAAAAATATAAATTTTTAAAAGTTCTTTAATGAAATAAACATTTATTTCAATAAATTATTATAAAAATATATAAAAAAATTCTAAAAAATTCTATTTAAAATTATAAAATAAATATTTTTATTAATAGAAAAATATCAATTTACTAAATAAAAACTTATAAAATTTGTTATATATATTTATTTTATACATTTTTAAAATGATTAATTTTTTGAAACTTTATTGGGTTAATAATATTTTAGTCATTAATAGAACATCTATATATATAAGATTTTAACTGTCTATCTATTTTTTGCGATATGATTGGTCGATTATTGTATCACGTGCCTTATAACCTAACAATCATCTATAAGATTTTAATGTCTATTTTCATGTTGATATCACTTGAACCATCAGCAAATATAACTTATATTATATGTAATTTGATGTATATTAACTTTAGTAATAATAAAGGCATAAAA